AATGGTCCACAAATGGTCGGTGTGCAAACTTGAGCCTTGTTTTTAATCTCAGTTATCAACCCGAGCTTACCAATGAACTTGATTACAGTAAAGGACTTGAAATGGAGATTAGATCTCCATAACTGAAAGTCATACCTGACCTTTGAACTTCGGGGCCCAGATCAGGAACAAGCAGTGCGGACTGTGTGCACGGTGTTGGAAGTTTCCTTTACATTGGCCCTTTGGTTTAGTTGACTATAGATAATTTCACAGTACACAGAGTTGTATGATGTAGTGTGCTGACCAGATTTACATCGTGAGCAAACTGGAAAGATTCCATTTGTCATCTTGATTAGAGAGCTCGTCAAGCGAACAGGACACACATCACGGCAGGGTTTGGTTTCTTTGAAATAAAATTCAGTGTTCAATTTGTGCAAAGTGAAGTGCAGTATGCATAATTGACATGACATGCTATTTAGTCCGCCAAAATGAATCGACAGCGGCAAGCCAATATGGGTTGGAATTCCAATCTCTTTCATAACGATCTTGCACAGTGGAAACCGATATCGTGTGTTGATAAGTTCATCCGCTTTGTGTCTGTGTTTATGAGTCTGTCAAAGCAATGCATCATAATTACTCAAGAGGTGAGTGTGATTTCTACTGCCGAAAGAAATCAAATAAGAGGGAGATTTCTTTCGTGGGATCTGGTCTTCAGTTTGTTTCTATGAAGAATTTTTTTTACGTCTAGCCATATTCTGCGGCATGCATTCGATAGACGTGTCAGGATGTTGATCCTCTCTCGAAGCTCGACAAGCAAGCCTCATTCGGTATTGTTGACACACATCTATAACAAAGGGCGCCGATCCCGAATTAGTAAGCTCTGAAGAATTTTTGACATTTTGGAGATTGCCTTAAAAATGGAGGCTTGTTTCACACTCAAAATGTGATGAATTTCTCAGTGTCAAAGGTGGGAACAATATGGATTGAGGTGTCTCTGTTTATTAAGATAGGACAAGCAGTTGCCTGCTAGCCAGCGAAGTGCAGTTACTATATATGCAGATTGTTGATAACTTGGACTAGACCAGATGCGAGTCACTCTTATCAAATGAAAACAAAACCTGGCAAGATGACGCACGAGCTTTTGAACGGTTCAAGTTCTCTGCTGTGCCGCCAGCAAAGGTTGTCAGAGACCTCCGAGACCGGAGTCTCTTTTTCCAGCAACCCGCCGTCACACGGCCATCCGTTAACCAAGAAAACAGCGACTCGCGTGACGCCTTGGGGGGTTCACCAAGCCCCTCACCCATACAACACGGACGGCTCGACAGCAGCGCAGGCTCGGCGGATCCGCCCCATATCCTGCACGCTCAGCCTGCCGTCCGCACGGGCGCAATTAAGCAGTCAGCGTGACGGGCTCCGGCTTAATTCACCAAGACGGCCGGGATGATACCCAACTAGACAAAACTGCGCGATTTTGTTTAACCGAGTGATAAATATTATCCACTGGGACGTCGGAACGGAAAACATTTTGACATACAGGGCGACAAAGAGAGAGAACGAGGGGGAGTTGTTCAGTCGCCCCGGCCGGCGAAGATGGCGGCCACAATATCGCCTACCAACCCCCTTCGATTTATTATAATAGCCTGTGCAAATAAATAACACTGATTGGATTTATTTTCACTTGTCACTGAATAACACTGGTGATGACATGGCCCTATTCTCAAGATAAACATGGAAACTTTGCTGTGCTTTTAGGTTGGACACTGTTGGGAAGGCAGACGCGTCACGGTGCACAGTCTCGGCTAGCAACATCAAAGTACATTGACTCGCCCCCACTCGTCATAGCGCGTCACTGACTGTGCAGAATTCCTACCTACATTTTACTAGCTGCAACACACACATAACTGTGTCATGACGACAGAACGTTTAAACCAAGGCTATGGTTTAACCGATAAAAAAAAAAAAATCAACCATACATCGATTTCTTACTATTTCTTTTCTCTGTCTGTTTGGGCCTCCATGTGTTGGTGGGCACTTATTGAAGTGGTCCAAATTCTTTTCTTTTCAATGATAGCTGATGAAAGTGGCAAATACAAACTAAATTTCCACCATTGAAGAAAATCTGATAACCGCACAATACGCTACTTTATTATTTTGCAGTACATAAAAGCCTGATGTGAATAATAATAATAATAATATGTAACATTGATGGATTTCATTTTTATTCTGATTTTTAAAAAGCAATTTGATAGTAATATTAAACTTGCTGCTTTTCATAATATTCCAAATTTTCGAACAAAATGTAAGCTAGTATAAGTGATTTCATATACTTTGGTTTGTTGCGTCATTTTTACTTGCATTCTAAAGATGTTTTCAATAGTCAACAAAGTAGTCAACCATAAAATTGAACACGCTGATTTCCTTCTAGTCGAAATGTGTAATTTGGACCTAAATTTCTGTGTTGGTTTGAGTCATCATTATCAGCAACTAAGTTACGGACTTGTTTAAAAATTTCAAGTTGTCACCTGACGTTGAAAAAGTGAATTGGCCTGTTCTTCACTGTGTGTATATCTATATATGTATATTACTTTAAATATTGGCATATTTTTAATGACATAGATTTGGGTCAACAAGTTTGACCGGGGTGGTTGATGATGGTTAAGCCAGTAGACGTTTATCAAGACGCTATGATGTTTACAACGTATATACTCACGATAAAACCGCATGTGGCAAGTAGTACTGATGGGATAATTTTGTCTTGGTATGTTTTTCATTTGTTTTTGTTTGTTTGTTTGTTTGTTTGCTTGCTTGCTTGCTTGCTTGCTTGCTTGCTTGCTTGCTTGCTTGCTTGCTTGCTTGCTTGCTTGCTTGCTTGCTTGCTTGCGTGTGCCTGGCGTGTGTGTTCAGTGGAAATATATAGGGTGGGGTAGAGTTGAATGGGGTGGGGTGACCTCCGTAAAAATGCCCTTATTGGCAATGTACAAATACGGTTGGTGGAATTTGACTCGATGTGACTTTGTCTGCTGTCGACAACCGACAAGTATAATGTCGCAGGTGATGTGACCTGTAACTAAAGCGGACTTTAATAGTCACCCATGAGGTATATCCTAATCAGCCTCACTAGAGATGTGAAAGCATGGGCATTTATCTAGTCTTTTCTTCATTGAAGTTCTGGGCCCATCAATGAGTACCGGTAATAAGCCTGATTTTGGTAAAATTTGCTCGACATAATTTGTTTGTTTGTTTGTTTGTTTGCTTACTTGTTTGAAGACAAATTTCTGAAATGAAAATTGTCTAAAATTGTATATTTCTTCGATTGGGAAAACTAATATCGGAGGTTTCAAATTTCTTTAAAACGCAATTTCACACAAGTTGAGGACACATAGACTTTATGGCGTCCCCCGTTCTTCTTGATATCTCGTTATCAAGGACTGATAAGTAGGAATGATGTTCGGAGGATGGCGGACTTTTTCATTCGAACTTTATCTTTTGACGGTATGGTGTATAAAGTCAGCTAGCTAAACACCACTGTACGTGAAAGTTGATACTGCGCCATTTGGGAGGCCCTAACCAGAATCCTCAGGGTTTGTTTATCAGAGTGTGGTCTTTAACGCTAAAGGCGGGGCGGTGAGTGGTAATGTCCCTCATCGCGGCCGGCCCTTTGTTTAAACCAGCCTGGCCATCCCGGCGAACGCAAGCTGGCCCGATCTGAGCCGCGGCACCCAAATCGCCACTCGCTACACGAACAGACAGCTCGTTCGTGCTCTTCGTTTAGCAATTGCCAAGGGTGACTGCTAGTCCAAGATCTTAAAGAGGTCCGTTTCGGTCGAAGACGTAGGTGACATGCAAGTCTTTATACGGCCTACAACCAGCAGAGTTGATGCTGTATGTGTCGTGGTCGTCCTTGTCGTTGTTACTGATGTTTCCTCGCTGCACTGAAAGATGATATTGTCCTTGTCGTAGTTTCCGTTCCCTTAGATCTAACACATTTGTTGCAGTTTTTGTCAAACAATCTTTGGGTAAATTCATCATCCCAAAAGTCGTTTGAAGTAACGTTACCCACATCCACAAACCTTCTATCCTTTAAAATAATCGAGTATTTTTGCCCAATTTTTGAAAAAATCTTACCCCAGTAACAAAAACATTGAATATGCGAGAGATCTCATTCTTGTTTTCCTATGATAGCATCATTAATTAATTTTTTTTGTACTTTCTAACTCGTGATACGTCATGAAATTATTGGGAAGAGCCGGTTGTTGTTTGATGCAATACCACTTCTTCAGGGAACTCTATTCGTGCTCCGAATTTTCAGTGTACTGCACAGAGCTTATTTTTTTCTCCGCGATTTTATTGTGGTCTTTGTCCTTAAAACTTTCCTACATCTTCTTCCGAGTTCATCTTGGACTTATACTCCCTACTTTAAGAGAGAAAATTACCCTGCCATTTTATGTATTTGGAGAAGCACCACTAACGTAGCGTTTGGATGCTTGTACCTCACGGACAAAATTCCCACTCACGCCGACACTTTTATCTTTTAATCATTTAAAACAATTTGTAGCTGAGTCCGGGAAGCCAACAGCGATCATTTTTCACCCTTGAAATGCGACAACCGATAGCGAGCTCACCTCGTTTACATATCAAAGCGAACCTTTTTAAAAAATAGATGATCCCCGGCCGGATTCAATTCCCCTGTGGAGGTGGCAATCAGCAATCTTCGATAATAATAAAACCTAATTCGGTCCTGGGTCTGTTTTTTTCCCCTCTGCAAAGGAGACAAAGTGTAATAAGCGGCGTCTACAGCCTATTGCTGGCGGATTTCATAATTTTTTTCTCCAAGCCAAGGACCCCTGGTCACAGCGGACAGGGTCTGGCAATCCACGCTCTGTCAGAGACAGAGAACGATTTGATTCGGCCGGGGAGAGTGAGTGGAAGTCGGCACGGGGCCCGATCATGCATAACCAAGGAGCAGAATGCTCTTTCAGCGTTCCTGCGGAAAATTATCTTTTGGCGCCGCGAGTCGACAATCGGAGACCAATTAAGCCGCGCAATCATCCAAGGCGGCTTTTCCCCCCTTTTCAGTGTGAGTGAGAGATAGAAGGAAAAAACACAGCGGGAAAAAACCAACTTCGTCTGGTACACCTTCCACGACGTTACAGCCTGTCAGCTCGTCCGTCATTGGACGACCAAGGTCACGTGCTTTGAATAGGGAAAGTGAGGGGCATGGATGGGTAACGTGTGTGTCGTTAAGACTCAAATGGAGGCTATAGGACTGAACCGTATCAAACTCGGCCCGCTTAGCAAACAAAAATAGTTCAATTTTGACAATTACTTAGCTTACCGGTGTGGCGTGAGGATGTCCAGCGCGTCGACGTGTGGAGTAGACCCGAAATTCCCGCCGCTGGAAGAGTACGCGCAGTCCAGCTACATTCCAACAAATGGCTGCTTCAGCGGCTCACACTTTGCCAACGAGAACCATAGGTACATCGAGGCCAACTCCTCGCCAACGTTCCACCAGGAGTACGACAAATACCGCGCAAACTTTGCCGAGTGCGAGCAGGGCCGACCGGGCAACCTGCAGCACGGCTTCAGCAGCTTCACGGCAGCGCTAGCCGGCGAGGGCAACGTGGAGAGCTGGGCTGACTACCAGAGTAGCCCGGACAGAGACAATGGCTGGACCGGCCTTGGGACGAATAGTCCTTGTCTGTTCAAACAGAGAGGGACAGGCAAATTGGGGAATAACCAGATGCCACCCCAACAACTTCCTTTATATCCTTGGATGAAGAGGATACACGTCAACCCAGGTAAGTTTGAATGGTTTCATTCACCTGGTTAAAACAAAAGTGTTTAACGGCCTTTTTTAACCTTTGATTAATTTTAAGTCAACATGATATAATCGTTGAAGAGGACTATTATGCTGAACGCCCCCCTTGGGCTAAAAGCACGCGGTCTCAAGAGAATAACCCTCCAGAAAAGTGCATACTTTGCCAGACGGCGTTGGTAAATCGTGGGTCTCTTTCAACATATGCGCGTGTGACAAATGATCCAGATATATTCATTAATTATCCTATGCGCCGAAAGCATAGTGTTCACGTTCGGCTTTGTGGAAACCACACCGACTCAACGTAAATACACGCGGTGATAGTAGTACATTTTTTACGGGATTTTTTTTTCTCCCTCCGTGCAGCGGTCGGGAGTCGTTTATCAGCGTCCGGTGTCGACACCAAACGGACCCGCACCTCATACACCAGGCAACAGCTCCTGGAGCTGGAGAAGGAATTCCACTTCAACCGTTACCTGACGCGGCGGCGGCGCATCGAGATAGCCCAGTCCCTCGGACTCTCGGAGCGCCAGATCAAGATCTGGTTCCAGAACCGCCGCATGAAGTGGAAGAAAGACCACAACCTGCCCAACACCAAGCCGCGGGCCGGTACCACCACGCAGGCGGGCACCCGCCCGGCAGGCCCGGCTAACTTCGACGCCGCACCGCCGGTGGATATCAAGCGCGACACGCCGGAGAGTACCAGCACGGATTCGTCATGACCTGCTCAGACCCAAGCAGCGGGAGTGCGCTCATATCCGGTAGTTATCATATACTTAATTTTTGCCTCTCCGACTCAAGTACATTTTCGGTACATGTTGTGTACTGTGAAACGTTTCAGTGACATTCTATTAAACACGTCAACAAACTTGCCGCTACCAAGCAAACAAATGAACAATGTTTTTTTTTTCTTTATTATCCTGATGGCTGCTGGTAAATGTGAGACTCACTGAAATGTGAAGTACGTATTTGGTATTGCGATGAGGTTGTTAAAACTCGGTAAGCATGGACATTTTTTTTATCCATAAAGTCAGCTGAAGGACCCACGATAAGTAGCAAATGGCCATAAAAGGCGTGTCGTTAACGCATAAACAATACCAGTAATGTATTGCACGACACAATGATGCGCGCTGAAGACACTTCCATCGTCATTAATTTTAATTTTCGAGTGCTACCGTCATAAATTATATGAATAATTCGGTCATGATACTGCTATCACAATGGGGATAATTTGTTTTTTCTGTCATTGCTATGTGCAAAATAGCTCTATTTAACATGCTTCATATGCAGGGTGTTTTTAATTGTAATTTTATACATTGATTTATTTAAATTCATGTATAGTGTGTGTTTGGGGGGTTTATTTTGTTCGTTTGTTTTGTTTTAAAAAAGTAATATCCTTCCATTTAACCTTCAGATAATCATAGGCTTTTTTTAAATTTGAGTACATCTCTTTCTGGAATCAGCGCGGGAAGTGTTTGAATGTCATGTAGGCTGCCCTTTTTCATGCAATACACCTGCATTCCAGGAAGTCATTTGTTGTCCGTCAAAGTATTAAAGCCATTTAATCGACTCTGAAGGCACATTTCGATTTTCTCTGAATCGATTAATGATAGATCAATGAGAATTACGAACCATTGCAGAGAGCGCCTATGGAATGACTCTCGATAATGTGTAAACACAAATTTGGTGACAACGAACAAAAATAAACTTTCGGTCAAGCATTTGGAGGAAAACTTCCCGATAGTGGAAGTTTAACAGGCTTCCGTTTGAGACTTTTTCAGACTGACAGTTTGTATGATGGATAGCTGTCATTTCGATTGTGATTGTTTTCCCACTGAAAAATATCTTTCACTGAGTTTGTAACCGAAACCACATTATAAGTCCGTAGTTTTTACTAAACCCGAGGAAAAGCGAGAGAACGATCACTCTTGCTGTTGTTAGTTGTGTGCAACATTGCTTGTGTTTATGTTTTGTTCACACAAGACATGGAAAAAAAGTACAAACATGAAAGAATGAAAATAATTTCAACCAGGAAGTACCGATGGACCTCAAGAACATGCTTTATTTCAGTTCTCCTGAAGAGTCAGGTAACTTTCCATTTTCACTGAAAGAAAACGAACGTACCGCTTTCATATATATATATTTTTAATTATTTTTTATATGTTTGGTTAAGTTTTGGCTCCAGTGTGTGTTAACAAATAATTTTTCTGCCTTCGCAGAAAATCCATCGCTGACGGGAATTTAGTGCTCTTTCAAGGAAAGAAACGGTACTGTTGAGTGACCCTGGTGCCAAGATCTGTGGGAAAGTATTCACATTTTGTTGAAGGCTAGGATAGGGTCTGTTTCCCAGAACTCTGCAAATAGGCTGTATTGGCAGATTCAGGCCATTGACACGTTCATTTGAAATGAAGAGACACTGTTTCAGACAAAATACACGCAACCGTTAGGTTTTACTGTGGACTCTTGATTTAAAGAACAAAATCATGAAATACTACGAATATTGAGGGTCGCCATCCCTCGAATTCCTTTGTTTTGATTGATTTTCCTGTTCTTGTTTTGAAAAAGGTCTCTTCCTAAACAAGGAAATTCGCCTGGTCCAAATAACCTTCTTTTACAGAGTTGAATGTGCTAAGAAATCTTTGACGACGATAAAATTGGTCATTTTGGTGTAAACTTTAATACCCGAAAGAGGGGATGTTATCACACTGACTCTTGGACTATAAAGCCTGAAATTGTACATTTTACGAAGAGAACCCTCCTAAGCAAATTATATACACCTGCTGTATGTTAACTATGCTGTTTAAAACAGCCAGGGAGAGTGGACGTGTAAATATTCCTATATTATGAGGTCTCTATGTCGTTGTTAATTAAGGTATGTGAAATAAAGCATTGTTGTTCTTAAGTGTCTATAAAGTTATGAGGCGGACTTTAATTTCGTTATTGACTTGACTGTTTTTACACCCACTGTTGAGGACATGCTGCAACATTGATTGACACTGGACTATTAACACACCTAAATTGTCAGCCTGAATCTACGTATCCTTTTTTCAATAAAAATTTGGGGAAAAGGGAGAGAAAGAACAAAATTGCATAAAACGAATTTGTACAAACGGCTTCTGGAACGTGTCGCTAACGGTTGAAAATTCTGTAAAAATCGAGAGTAATGGAAGAGAAAAAAGGAATCCACTTTCTTGATATCCATATACACCATACGTTATCGATACGACTACCCGAGATCGTGGGTCGGGATAGTTACCCAAAACAAGCTATAGACGGTAGTATGGCACATTTTATGACCACATCCTTTATGCTGTTTTTAATTAATTGATCGCCCGCACATTAAGACAAGTGCAGACAATTAGCCTTGCGCAGTAACAAAATCGTGTTGAGCATCTCCACCGGTTCCTTTGTGTGGCCATCACGATTTTTTAAATATTATTTTTGACCACTTGAAAACATGAAATGAAAGGAGCACATAATGTCAACCAGTCCTTCCCTAAAATAAATCACTTGCCCATTTGACTTCAGACTTAATATTGTCGGTCAATCTCTTTAAAAGTGTTCACACGGCCGCGTCCGAATAATAGGCCAGTCCTGTATAAAATTGCGATTGGACTGAAACAGTGCTACAACCTTTCTATCAGAACCTACATGCATCCAAGTCTATTATCCAGCATAAACTTAGAACAGTTGAAACCACCGATGGTTGTTGGAAATTTATAAAAGAAGAACAAAACCGAATGGTAGCCATGATGAAAATAAAAAATGCAAAGCCTGCCTTCTCCCTCTTTCTGCAAAAAAAAGAAAGAAAAAAGGGAAAAAAAACCCAAAAAGTTTCAACAAACAACTTAACAACAAAAACATTAGACGTTAATGTTTTTTTTTACTAGGCCTCATATCGAGATACAATACCTCCAGCTCTTATCTAAGTTAATTTGCTAAGATGGAATAAACCGAGTCATACCATTAATTAATTATGTTTCTGTAATTTCTGTTTTAGAATCGAGTACTTCGGCATGATTCTCCTTCGTTCGGCCTACCGTTGCTATGGAAACAAATTGCGAGAAATGACGGCCCCATTAAAGATAGAAAAATAGTTCACTTTGAATCTTTCATCAGAAATGCAAAAAAAAAAATGTGGGAATTCATTTTGTTTTGCAATTAGCCGAGAAGGAGAAAAGGATAGATTCTTTTCGTCAAAATATATTTCGTAATTCGATTCACATTTTGAAAATAAAAAGCAAAACATATCGAAAGTAAAACACACCCCCTGAAAAGAATGAATTTTTGGACGTGTTCTCATTGAGGTATTCGAGAACAGTGGCATTAACAACAACATCTAGGTCACAGACATTTCACTACCCACCAGCTCCCCTTCGGAGTCAAATACCCCAGTTTTCGGGGGCTTTGTCCCTCACCAAATCGACTAATTGAGCCTGTCCTCATCGCTTCACAGGTGACCGGGTATTTTGCATGACAAGTCGGGCCGACGCCGCACTGTCGGTTCTCTCCGAAATCCCAGGAACACAGACCTGACTACATCGTCGACTGCTGCTGTATAACCGCTGTCTTTGGTTTACCCGCACGGGTGCGGGCTTGCGCGGGGGATATAAGCCTGGGGGCTTTACGGCACGTGTGCCGCCCTTCCAGCGTGCCTTTTTGTGTCACCACTATGGGTGACCAAGGGAGTATTTCGGCGCGAAATTCTTCCTTCTGCTTTTCATTATTCCATCTACTAATGTTCACACTTTCACACTAATGAGATTTTTTTTTGCCCAAACTGCCCTGCACGAAGGCAATCTTCAGATTGTTTGGGGTAGTGTATTGCTGCAGGAATTTTTGTTAGATTACTGTGAAAAGTGTGTGAATAAAAATGGCTTTCCGCTTGAAACGGGGTTAAAAGTCACCGTAGCTACGATAGAGAGTTTCCTTAGGCAGTTGAAGCGATGGGATCTTCGTGCGGACTGATCGTCTCTTGTGCATGTGCTTAAAACATGACGTTCCAACGTCGACCTAATCGACAACGTCTGGAGTCTATCGAGACTTTGGTCTCTATCGAAAAGTGTCGATAGTCTGTTGAGAATAGCGTCAAATTATGGAGATCTATGTCCTTCATAATGGTAAAATGGCATCTTTCTGGAAACAGCCATGCAAACAAGTTATTTATAGTTCTGTAGGCCTAATCTTATGTAGGTTGGAGGCTCTTACGTTAGTTTTAAGATCACACAAACGGCAGTAAATGCATTTGATCTACCTGTGGGTTTTTATTCCGTCCAAAAAGAAAAAAGATCAAAAATTATTCTTTTGGCAGATATTTTGATATTAAAACTATTTCCTCACGCCATTATCGATGTAAAAGCTTTTACTGCAATCATTTCTGAAACAGAACAGTAAGTTAAAGTCAGGGAACAAGGCTCGCTCACTACTGACTACTGTTATAAGAGGTTTCATATCAAAACGGAATTGACTGTTTTCATTCTGCACGGTTATCAACATAATTTGAGTATGCCTTTTCCTTGTGACAACTGTGTGGCCAAAAATGAAGCTTGTCTTGGAATGGTGGCAAGGACTGAAGTCGTCGGCACTCTGTTGATATCCCAAAGAAACAAGTTGAACGTTGTTTGTGTTCACTGCCCCTTGTTTGACGGATGGGCAGAGCGTGGTAAGACGGGCAGAAGTAACGCGATTCTTTCCCTCAATTTCACATCCCACGATGATCGCGCACGCTGATACATTATTAACATCTCAACGCCGCCAGTAAATTGATGTAGCGCATAGATGGTCTCCGGGCATGATTGTAGCACGTGTCCCGAACTCTCTTCCGTATGTGTTCCTCAAGCATTGTTGTGTATAGACATGGGAGGCACGCACACAATATGTGCTGAAGAAAAAAAATTGTAAAAGAGGCGGGAAAAGGATCAATATTAATAGTGTACAAGGAAGCATCGCGCGAGCGATTGGGTGTGAATAATCAGGTACATTGTGAGAACAGCAATCCCCAAATGCCGTTGCTCTTGCCAACAGTTACGCCATCCACCATCTCTGGAATGCCACGCTTCAACTCTTGGCCAGGTGATGACCTGCTCCACCAAACTGGCAAAAAACACCTGTTTTTCCCCCATGTGCAGATATGGTGCGCCGTATATCCGCTAAACCCACTTTATCCCCCTTGTCAATTTTGTGCACCCGAAAGGTTACTTATATTACCATTTTATGGGTTATTGTAGTTCAAGAATTTTTTGGAGGGGGGAACTGCAAATATTTCAAAGCTACATGAAAAACATTCGTTGAACTATACCTTATGCTTCACCCAAAGGCTATTTGAATACTTCAGAAGGTGGATGTTCATTGGTTTTGTTCACTTCTTTAAAGATTAACTTTGCAACTGATAGAAAAAACTGTTACTTTTCATTTGAATTCTTAAATTGGCTCAGCATTTAGCCCGGAAAGTCAAAATAGTATCGCAATGCCATAGTTTCCTAAGGATTTTTATAATTAATTAAGTAGCTTTTTAAACTCATAGGTAGATATTACGGTGTAATTTGATTGTTAATGTGACCAAATGCCCCACTGTTTCCCAAAATATTAACGCTTGAAAGGACAGTGACTTACGATTGTTGACAAATACTAATGAAACATGCACATCACAGAAGCTGCCTCCAGTATAACACTTTTGGTGCAGTATTTTTTTAAAAATAAAGTCCCCCTCCTCGACGAAAGAGGGGAAGATGTAAATGATAAACCCACAGTAACCTGTATTGCATTCCGATTTGGGGGTGCAAGGAGGGGTGAGCCCCCTGCGGTTTGCAGCGTCTTCGGCCCGGTAGCGATGGCTTTCACACCTCCGCTCCGGTCGCCCGTACCAAGAGTTGGCTGAGGTTTTTTCACGGTGAGGCTTTCAGCGGCGAAGCGTGGCGGGCAAATCACCCAAGTGAACCGCAAGAGGGGGGGGGTATATCTGTCTTCCATCTTTCAAGTTTACCCCTTTTTTACATTGTCTTACTCTGTCTGTGTCCTTTATTTTGTTTTTCATCTCGTGCCTGAAAGATTGATGAAGTTTCCCATATTCCGAAGAGAGCGGCAACCGATGTCGAAGCAGGTCTGAGGTGTCGAAGCCGCAGTCTTTAACTCCAAAAGAGTAGATGTGGTGAGTCTTCTCACAGCCAAGGGAGGCCGATTCCTCTCCGGTTTTCCAAGAACCAATGGTTCTATTTCAAAGAAAGAAAGAAAAACGCAGACAACCTAGCAAAAAAAAAGTGCCTCCTGACGACGCGTCGTCCACATCAGCAGGGCAAACTGCTTACTGCCCAAGTTTTCGAGTTGCCTGGTTCTTTTTGCAAACTCACAAAGGGGGTGTTCCTGCCATGATGGTCTCCCTGCAGACTTAGCCACGGAGAAAAAGCGCGAGCTTATTTGAAAGAATTGTGTGGATAACTTTCTGTGCAATATGAATACGACGTTAACAATACAACTCGAATTGCTTGGAAAAGGCAATCGGCTTTGTTTTTTTCCTGCGGCGCTGGCTGGACGCGTTTGACGGAACAGGAGGACAGATTTCCCCTATGGAGGAATCAGTAACGAATCATCCATGGAGAAATAGTCGACGTCAAGACGAGTACCAATCAGACCACGGGGGAAAAAAGAAAAGAGAGACACAGAAAGATATGCCGCTCATCATTCCCGCGAATCGTTCACCGACAAGCAAGGAGACACTTGCAATCTCAACCAAACCCATCATGATTATTTCGTTTGTCACCCCTTGTTGCCATTAACAAAACGCCTGAGGCCTCGCTATTGATGATTATGAAGAAGTGATGGTTCCAGATCCGCGTGGGTATTATTGTGTGCATAATGCCCTGGTAAAAAAATCTTGTAATGAATAAACATCAGCTAATGTGATCAGCCACTTGATCTAAA